TCGGGCATTCTAAAAACCGATTACTTAGCCTGACTGACTATCTTCTATATCGCGGTAAAGAATACTGCAAAATATCATTCTTGTTTCAGCCCAATCCATATCGACGACATTGACGTATCTCCGAAACTTCGCTGCTTTAAAATAGGAGCGCCAGGGACTTCTGTTCGTAGAGTGATGAGCTGTGACATCCGCTGCATGTCAGAGAGAGGACAAAAAGCCAGTGTTCTTCGAAATCACACATCGCAGTGTCACATACAACTGCTAACGACAATGGATCTAGACACAGAGATGCTGTAGAATATCTCTCCAGAATAACAAAAGATAATTACGTTAAACACTCCACTCCGACCTGAGATCGAGATAGTGCAAGAACAGCCGGAGCTCAGTCGTCGAAGAGAAAATCACGCGAAGGGTTCGTGTATGATCTGAATGACATCTAATCTTTCGTCCAGATGAGAAGAAAAACGAATGTCGTAGCTTTATCGTTTTGTTGAGCGTCGGGGTGGATTTGTTGATAGTCATCGTGTTACCTCATACTTAACTGACGAGCCGTTTTCTGTGATACGGATAGATCAGGTTAACTGAATGCCATTGGCTCATACCCAGCTTACCTGTCGATTAGCCTTCGTTGCCCATGGGCTTCTGTTTGCAGTTTTTGCGGAAATAACAGACTTGATACTTAGGATTCCGATGTGCCGGCTCCCCATTGTAGTACTGGATGTCTTCGTTAGCGATTCGCCTCTCAATGCGGAGCCACTGGTGCGTTAAAACTCCTGGATAATTATAGTCATCAGCATATGACGCAGGTACTGTCATTCACAAATCAGATCTCAATAGCTCCTGGTTGTTACGATTATTCCTCTCTCTAGGAACCTACTGTGACCCCTGCATTTAGTCACTCGTAGATGCTGACTGTACACGTCATCTGGCACTTCTCTTCTTCTCTCAGTTCTCTGCTTCTATCCATACCACTCACTACCGCTAATCCGGATTCTAAAACCAGTTTGCCGTTGGCACATGAGCCGCGCAAACTGATTACCCTGCTAGACTTTGACCCCGAACAGTAAGCCAGGGGAGGTCCCATGCAATAACAGACTTCACTGCCCATGGGAAAGGGAACTCAGGAGTAAAACACCAGTAACCAAAACATTCTTAAGTACTCGACTGCAGCTCATTTTAATCTGACTGGAAACAACCAGTGGGTTAAGCTGAAAAAGCAATAAGAATTAGTCACCACAAATACATATCTTAAGTTAAGGAGATTAGTACGGAGACAATACGTAGTGTGTGTGAGTATAATATAGCGACGCGAAGTTACATCTATGTTCCCTAGAAATACGCAGATCTCGGTAGTGGAGCACCGAGTTCCCTCGGCCCACGATCTCAGGCGATACGAGTTGGGTATAGAGCAATGTTGACAAACCTCAACGAAGCGTGTAATCGCAAGGTCCACATAAGTAAAGCCACTTGATGAATTACATACGACAAGGTAGTATAGTGCCATGCCATCACCCTATCACAGCTGCAACACTCTCAACGAGCCTGTTACGGCTTCTACCAATAGGCAGTTAGTAATATTCCACTCACCCATAGAGCTCTATAGCTTATATACCCTGATGTTCTAGCTCTAATAAGTACATCTATCTACTGCACTCGTAGGTTTGCTCATGTCTTTTAGTAGTTAATGTACTCTGACCAGTGAGAGGCTGCGTCGTGCTCTCGCCCCGTTAACTCTCCCACACGGCTAGTCAACAGTGCACATTGATCTTGGGCGTTGGTATATTATATACATTAGCTGAGCGCTTATTTACTGCGAATCGTAATTTTTGTGATCCTGTAGGCAGCAAGTGGGTAACCCTGGGGCGCTTTCAGTGCCGCACCTCCTGCTTTAATAGCGGAGTGCACGAGAGGATTATGTTTGGCGCTGGGAGTGGATGTGGGCGAAGTGGAGAAGTGGCGTGGTTCCGTAAACATAATTCCTAGCATCATAGTGATGTATGTTCAGCAATTGTAGTGAGAGATGACATCTCCGTCCCCATACGCCAATTGCTGAGAATCCGTGGTGATTTTATGTCAACAGATATGCGGGAAAATGTTGTCTACCGACCTAGTCTAAAATTCAATTATCAGCGATTGCTGCGCAAGATAAAAGCAATAGGAAGATGTAGGATCTTCCCTACATGTTGCCCAATATGTGCGCACACGGTTAAAAAAATGCCTTCTCTCACTCACATGCACTCCTCCTACTAAGCGTTAGTGCTCCAATAAATTAATGTGGTCCACCTCATCAGTGAACATCGAATAAGATTATCCATAGTGTGCTCATAAATGTCATATTGACAGAGCGCAGCCCTCTCGAATTCTGGGCTTACTTCAATAACGCTGATTTCAATTTTCTGCTTGGTGCGCACCATCGGAAATAAAATACCTCACTGTGGGACTGATGACTCTTATGGAGCTCCGAGCGGTACGCAGTATCAAAACCACTAGATGCCGCCTAGATGCAAATATGTTATCACACACCCAGTTGAAACGAGTATCTCTAGGCATCCGACTTTAATTTAAGACTACTCTCACAGCACAGAATAGATGGTGCTCAACCCTCTCTGCACATTACGTGCATTGGTGATGCATTGGGACCTGTGTAGTTAACTTGTCCGTTATAAATCAATTGCGTGCGCAACGGCTTTTTACAATGCCGAAACGAGTATTGTGTGTAATGCCTTCATGAAGTAGTGTCGTATATTTACTTGCCAATCTACTATCCTCACCTGCTGACACAATTGTAAACAAATACATTGTGCGAGCAGCTATCTGGTTTACAAACTTCTATCTGTTTTTTTCATTAAATACAAGATATGTAGAATTTTTGCCAATGTCTAAATATTACTTCAAGAGTTTTAGACTGTCTTGTTTGATATCGCTTATATATTACAAATACTTTTTTTATTTTACCAGTTACTCTAACGACTCATCTATTATAGCTTATCATTTGAACCGACCGGAAACTTTGCCAGCTTTATAAACGTCTAACTCATCGGTTTGACCTCGGAATTTATGCGCCAGTGTTATGCCCAGAATGCAAGCGTATGCGAAAAAAAGAAAAAAGTACACCGAGAACTGTGAGTCTAAGAAAGCCACGGGAAGAATTGGTTCTGCTAGTGTGGACATCCCCCGTTAATTGCGTTGAAAAAGGTTTTACGTGTGACTAACTTGTAATAGATGCTAGTGCAGTGATATACAGGCCTATCGCCTTGGTAAATAGCGCTGGCAGAGTAATTTGCCCCATGTTCAACGGTTTGGACTGAACGATGTACATGTGACTCGCGACACAATTTGATGAGATAATATAGTAACACTGAGTGAACATACTATCAAAGCATTGACCCATATTCTCACTACACCACATACTAGCCTATATGCACTAAGTCCCCTTTGCAGAAGTGTCTTGACACTATAACTATTACTTAGTAACGATTGTAATCAACGACATTGATTTCGACGGTTCCGTTAACTCTTCGGCTTAGATCTGTTCTTGTCATTAACGAACAGTCTCTCATGTCAATTCTCAGACCGAACTAAGTATGACCCTGAACGATCGGAGGTGCTCTCATGATTCCTAAATCCTGACATGAGATCTCACGTGAAAAAGCAGTGTTGAAATAAGTTCGTAAGCTACTATAAACATCATGATCGTTTAAACCCTGACTATAATATGCAAAGGCGCCGCTTCTCACACAGTTTCGGAGTCCATGAAGTCAAAACTACTGTATCCAACGTAGTGAATCACCTATACTCCCCTATCTCAACAGCTTCACAACATACTGACACCATAACATCCTACACAATTACTTGGAGTCACACTCACAAGGCATCTTTGCCTACTGTAACAAGCACAGACCTTGACTATTGATGCAGGAGTATATCTGCCACAACGGAGATCAGCGCGGCGTATTAGCGAGGAGGCTAACCTGTAAGACAGCCCAGACCACCAAACAGCTACAATCACCTTCACAACAACACTCGTGGGACGATTAACAGCTTGGGTCAGCAATGTACCGCGCCTGCAATCGGGGGACCCCTGCACCGACAAGGCTCACATACATTGGGAAGTCGAACTAGGGTTTATTTATCTACAATTTACAGCGCCCTTAAAATGTTGAGTATCCATCGAGGGTTTTAAACATACTCAAACTATATCAGAGAAATAAGACGAGTGGGATCTGCTCGTAGAGCAAGACAATCGCGCTCCCGACGGGTCTTCACTCAGGTGTACAAAATAGCACCGCAGCTTTTATAGAAATTAATAATGACATGTTAAATACATACAAACAGCACACACGTAGCATACGAAACACACAAACCGTAAATTCCTTCACATACCCATTACCAACACCACTCTTTCTTCCCACGTACCAGACGCGACTGAACAGGCTCCTAACCCAGCATATTGAAATTAAGAATACTCAAACACACACAACATCACATGAGGGAGGGATGTACGCTTACCAGCGCCCTCTAAATTATCTCTGAAGTTAATAAATGCAAGAACTCGTAATCGTGTAAATAAGTGCACTAGCTCTATGGTTTTTACTGTAATGTTGAGTCACAGTAGTAGAATGTTTATTACAAACATCAGCATGCCAGAGACCCACATACTGTCCGATGGCGACGGCGAGCCAGTTGCGTGTAAACATCCTACGAGCTAAATGGTGGTCAACATCAAGGCAAATTCAGCAACGGGGTCATAAAAATATCCCCTCCCACCACCCCCTATCCTCCCTGTCACTCTTCCACCCGCCCCCTCCCACCAACCCCATCCCCACGCCCACACAGCACTTGCAGTCTCACAAGCAACACTCAGATGGGTCTATATGATAAGTTGGGATTAATTTATTGCATCTGAACTCCTCTGTATAAGTGCTTATATAGACCTTGGTTAACATTAGCGTCACACCACACTTCGACACTGATCCAGAACTCTGTGCTCCTACAATCGTAAACTAGGAAAAATGTATTGGCTATAACTCACCTTTACTATTCTTACAGTCGACATTAGGTCCATGGTTCAGTAGAAAGGCAGCGATAGATGTGTGGCCCTCATCAGCAGCGAAGTGTAGTGGACTCCCGTCTGTGCAAAAAATCAAAGGGTCTATTCTAGTGGAAACGAGAGGAGGAGGAGATGAAGATGAGGAAGAAGAAGAGGTAGAAGAGGAAGAAGCAGAAGAGACAGAGGAAGAAGAAGAAAGAGAGAGATAGGAGATAGAGGGAGATAAATAGAGAGAAGGGATGAGAGGCAGAGACAGATAAATAACTGCCAGAGAACCAATCGATCCTTAGCACTTCACCGACCTAAAGTACCTAGCTCGTTTTCTTCCTGGAGAATAGTGTTGACATCAAACCCTTCGCTGATTTTCTCTTCGATCGCCCTCTGGTCTCCTCTTCTCAGCGCTTTAACTATTTTGTTCTGGAAAACAAGCATTCGTTGTTGTTTTTTTCTTTTTCTTTGTTTGAGCACGGATATATTAATCATTCGTAGGTACATTGCTTCCGGATATGGTAATTTTTGGAAGGGGTGAAGTAATGGAGATGGTTATACTTGAGAAATATATATAATATATATATATATATATATATATATAATATATATATATAATATATATATATATATATGTGTGTGTGTGTGTGTGTGTGTGTTGTGTGTGTGTGTGTGTGTGTGTGTGTGTGTGTATGTGTGTGTGTGTGTGGGTGTGTATGTGTGTGTGTATGTGTGTGTGTGTATGTGTGTGGTGTGTGTGTGTGTGTGTGTGTGTGTTTGGTAGTACTTAATCTTACGAAAATATAATAATTGTAATTTTCTTGTACAAATATAAGTAGGAATGGAAAAGACAAAGCTGTATCATGCTACAAATAAAATGGCTACCGTAAATAAATTAAAAAATATATAATTTGTTAAGAAGTAAATCTAAGAATACCAGATCACAAAGTATATTTTACTGTATAATACAGATGCAGATAATTTACCGATAGCGTGGTTACTGATTATTTGGGCATGTATAGTGTTTACACATCTATTAAATGATAAGTGATATGATTATTAATTACCATGAGGTGTATAAGAGAGGCATTCTTATATCTCATTCTAATACACATAACAAAAAATGTAATTTTGAATAGGGAAAGGAAAACACTTCCGATTCACGCACCATGGCTTCGTTTTTCTTATATTCCTTCATCCAGTGGACCACGTCGACGAATTCCTCCTTCTGCGCCTTCTGGAGCGGCGTCAGGTTGCTCTTGTCGACTGCGTTGAAATCGGAACCATTATTGACGAACCACTTGACAGCTTCGAGGTTGCCGTACTCCGCGGCGCGATGCAGGGGCGTGCACTCTTCCTTGTCACGCCCGTCCATCTCGCATCCTTTGCCCTTAAGGATCTCAAGGATGTAAGGGGATCCGGTTCTCGCTGCCAGGTGCAAGAGTCCGCCGCCTGCGAGAGGAAGCGGGTTTAGCTGATGGGCTCAGAGGTGTTCATTGTGTATGTATATGCATATATACTTACATACAGGCAAACGCAGTCACTAGCACACACATACACACACGCGCGTGCGCGCACACACACACAAACACGGTTCGCGTGCACACACACGCACATATATATCCCCCCCCCCACCACACACACACACAGAGCTCAAAGTATTATATTTGTATATATAATTTTCCAATATATGCCTACATCAGCCGATCGCCAACGCCTTGTATGAATATGGAGACCCACAATTACGGCGAGAGATTATATACCTAATAATGTGTTCATTAGGGATTTCATAAACAGAAAGAAGGTAAAGATGTGGTATGGTGTTAAAAGAATAGTTAAACAAAGAATACGTATAAGAATTCTATCCCATATTGAGTGGAACCTCATTTCTCAGGTACGAGAAACATCAGAGATAATTAAAGTAATTCCCATTTATGATATGTTCCAAGTGTAGAGAAAACAAGTCGGAGGTCATTATAAAAGAAGAAGCCTCTAGAAGGATAGATGGTTAGGAGAAGAGGTAATTAATCTGCAGAGAAATATTAGATATGAATCAAAAGTCAATGTTACAAGGATGCATTTATTAATATAGAACTCAAGGAAATATGAGAACGAAAAGATAGTATGTGAATGATGGTAAAAGCTTGAGCCAATTTTGATGTTGTGAATAGGAAAGAAAAAAAGGTTTTGAATGAGTTTTAGGTCTCACAGATTAAAGAAGAGAAAGAAAAATGAGTTTAATTCAGTAGTTACGTGTGGAAGCACAATACTGAAGAAAAGGAAAAAGGAGCAAAATGTAATGAAGTAAGAGAAAGGATAAGAAGGATGATAATGATACGAAACACCTAAGAATGAAAGTGTTTCCCGAGACTGTACTACGGAGAAACTAGAACAAGCCTGACAGCTTATCTATATAGGACCGCACAAACCTTGTGTTTACAGTATGGATCTCTACTGAGAACATAGCCCAAGAGAGATAAGGTGTATTTGTTTTTTAATTTATTTTCGATGTTCTAGTGATGTGTCGAATACCCTTCTGTAATCAATAGGGATGGAATGCGCAATGTGGTCAATGTTATCGTTTAATAGTATAACATTACTATCAAACATGCAATAACGATATGCTGAACATAGACACCTTAAGGGTTAATTCAGTAAGGTAAAATTTTGTGACAAGAACGTAACGTGAAATAGGATATATGCTTCTTCTTCCTGGAGATTAGAATTACCT